GCGCGTGCGCTTGCATGCATGCTTGCATACCTTGGGCATTTCCACCCATTCATATTGGTGGGATTTTTGGTGACTTGTCGTCACAGACTTGCCCCACCACTCGAAGCTGAGGGAAACTCTTCTCAATGGTGTGTGCTCACAGGTCCCTAGAGATAACATTCTCAGCATCTTTTCCCTTGCTTCTAGGTTTCCTTTGGCCGTGATTTTGAACAACAGCTCAGTTTTTATGTTGAGGCTAGGTCCATGTTTTGCAACCTGGAACCTGTTCTTGTGCAGTTGATTCACGTAAGGATTTTCATTTATTCGTTTCTTTTCTCAATAAATATTTATTATCTATATGCCAAGCATGGAGTTTAATCTGGGTGTCTTGTGGCCCCATAACACTCCTATTCTTTAGGGCATAAAAGGTGGTTTCTCAAAGATTATTCAAATCTGCAATTTTGCTTAAGTCTTTGGATGGTTATGGTTTTCTTTTTTTTAACCTCTTTTTCTCTGAAATGAGCATATTCTCATTCCTGTATGCCAGCAGCAAAGTGGGTTGCACTGATGAGTCATAGAAATATTAACCTATGGCTCTAATAACTTAACCAGAGTCCCAGCATTGTTGGATCTTGGTAGCTTTTCATGGTGCCCCCAGGCCAAGAGAAAGAAAAGTTCTGTTGATTAAGAAGTTGGACTCAAAGAACTTAAGTATTTATGCCCTAACAACTGGATAACTCTTTCAAATAACAATCTATGTGAATTGAATGAAAAATAATATATTTTTATTCTTAAATAATTCTAATTACTAATAAGCATGTGTACCTGTTGGGCACTATACCACTTCTCAGACCTTAGCATCAGATTGGCCTCACTGCCCTTGTTCCCTGTTCTACATTGATTTTTCTTTCCCCACATTGATTTTTGCATAGTACTTGTTTATTATCAGAGCAGCTGCTGAAAACCCAGTTTACCAAGGTAGGACATCGCTGTGAGGAGCAGGATGCAGTCTAGTGTTGAATCTGTGAGCTACCTCACGCCAGTGCTTTCCCCAGTGCTCAACAATTGAACATTGCTCTGTTTCCCAAAAAAAAACTGTGGTGCACCTCTGAGTTTGCTCCAACCCTCGAAGATGTCATGGTACACGGTTTGGGAACCATAGGTCCGAACTTTTCATATTTTTGGAAAGATTCTCCACGGCTTTGTTTCATGTAAATTCCCAAGGAGAGCAACCTTTTTATATATTTGTTTGCTGCTTAGCAGGTTAGGTGGCATTACTGAACTTAAGACCTAAAGGTAGAGAACTCCTCTATAAGTTGGGGGGAGGTAACAGTGCCTACCTTGGTAGGGCTGTGGGGAGTAAGGGAGCTGATGAATGTACAGCTCTTAGAACAGCACCTGGATGCTGTGAGTATGATGTGGTAGGTCTTGTTTCTGTTCTTACGCTTCATGTTAGTATTGCATAGGGGAATTGTGTGGTGGCTCTCGGGTTTGGAGGTTCCTCTTAGGATCTCTAAGATCTCAAGCTTAGTGTGTGGGATTTCTGGAAATGAAGTGAACCCTGGCTATTCATTAAACCAGAAAATGGTCATTCACTATGCCGGCTGGTAGGCATGACTAACTCAGTGAGTGCCTTTTGTTCTTACCCTGTTGGAGATGTTTGCTCAAGGCTGAGACTGAATCAGGCCTCATGACCCCTCTGGCACGTCAGGGTTTGGAGCTAACCAGTCTTGGCCCCGCATAGCTCGTTCTTATTGACTTGTATGCAGTTCATGTCCAGATCTCTATGGAAGACGTTAATCTGAGTCAGCCATCATTCCGTAATTATTTCTATTTTTTTTTTAATTAATCCAGAGTGTAAACCGGTTGGCAATGGAAACAAGGAAAGTAATGAAAGGAAATCATTCCAGAAAGACTGCTGCCTTTGTCCGGGTATGTTCTAGAGATAAGCCTCCCAGACTTGGCACTCCAGTGAGTTGTTTGATTTGCAAATTTCTAAGTTGCTCTTCCCAGAAAAAGACAAGTAAGTGTGTCCTAGGGGTGGTTAAGTATCGATTTTCCAGATTAATTTTTCCTTGACTACCTATGAACAAACCACTTTTCTTGCTATTTTCAAAAGAAATGATGAAAGAAGTCTCCATTTGGATACGTGTTATGGGAGTGGGGTGTTGGGGTTAAGAGGCGGATTGCAGTTTTGTGCTGGCTGAATTCTCTCTGGCTTGTGCCTGTACCTGGAAGGTCTTTTTATCAAAGCAATCCATATCTGTGTTTTAAAAAAAAATAGAACGGGACCAAAAAGAGGACAGTGAGAAATAAGCATACCGTCCCTGCCCTGACTTCATACCTCTTTTCTCAGAGCCAACCAGCTCAAAACCTTTTTGAGCAATTTCTTCTAATTACCACATTTTTAAGTAATTGGTTTAAAAGTCTGCTTCTTGGTCAATGGAAAGCATTAGCTATTTACTTCCTGCTATGACAGATGAGGATTTATTTTTCTCACCCCCTTATGCCCCTTATTTGCCTGGCCTCCTCCTCCCAGAGGCAGCTGGAGTACGCTGCAGAGGCGAGAAAAGAAAATTGGGGCTCAGAATGAGGAGATTTCGTTATTTTCAGTGTTTTTTACTTGAAAATATGCGATGGATGAAAGCAGGAGGACCAGGCTGCAGCGAGGGTACTGCTTACATCACCTGCCATGTTTCTTCCCTTCCTTCTAGGCCTGTGTTGCGTACTGCTTCATCACCATTCCCTCCCTGGTGGGCATCTTCACGCGCCTCAATCTCTACCTGCATTCTGGTCAGGTTGCCTTGGCCAACCAGTGCCTCTCCCAAGGTAAGCCCATCGTTTTCTCCTGGGAGCATTCCCTGGCTGCTTAGGGAAGCCCACGCAGAGGTAGGTTGGTGGGGGTGGGGGGGGGGGGTGGGTGTGTGTTTCCTCTAAGTAGGAAAGAAAGAACTGATCAAGAAACGATGAGTTTTAAATCTATTTCTGTAGCGGGAAGCAC